TTGCGGGGCTTGTTTTGAGACTAAATGTGTGAATTGTAGGAATTAGTTCAAATAATTAATCAAAAATTGGAAAATGAAAAGATGTGTAAAAGTAGAAAATGAAAAGGTGTGATTACATGTCAACTTCGACCAAATATTCAGACTTGATCCGATGGTCAAATTATGAAAGTAAATAGACCAACTTATTCTATTCGTCGAGTAAATCGTCGTGGTATATTTGAAATCTTGAAACCAATTCCAGATGAATGAGAAATTGCGGACCAAAGTTGGAAGAAATGAAGTGTTGCAACTTTTCGAAAGGATGCAGGTTTTGGCCAAATGTTGCAACTTTTTGAAAGGATGCATATTTTGGCCCACACTACTTCATTTGCACCCTTTCTACATCTATAAATAAAACCTATGGACATGATTTTGAGTACACCAATTGCATTAGGCATTCATTCTCCTCTTGCAATTCTCTCATTTATAACTCCATAGCATTTTCATGTATTTCCTTGGTAGAGAAGAAATTCCGTTCGAGTTCGTTGGTCGAAGCCATTTGGAGTACTCCTATGACTTGACGTGGTCGTTGTATCTTGAGAGATGATTGTCTAAAAATCGTTAGCACCGATGCGGGGCAAATTCATCTTAAGGACCAAGTGTCAAACACTTGAGTCGACCAAAAATTCATCACTTGCATCTTTCTTCCTACAATTTTCTGATTTCTTTTGATTATATTTTGATTTCAGGAAATGATTAACATTGTTTACATGTTTATGTGGCAAGGTTCGATCAAAAAAATAATTTGCTTTCGTTCAAGAATCGAAAGGGATGAATCCATATCTATGCATTCAGATTCGGTAACTTTTATATTTTGCTTCTCAAATCCTATTTTGGTAAGTCGAAATTACGTTTCGATTTCACGCAAATAACTGGTATGCTTTTGTGAATATAATATGTACGTAATCAGTGTGAATTTCCCCAACATGACCAAAAGTGGTGCCTCCCAGGCTCAATTGTGGTCGCTGCCACCAATTTCTGCCCTCCAAATTACGCACTCCCAAATAATGTCGTGGGTGGTGCAATCCACCTAACCACCACCTTGACCTCTTCCAGCCTATCTTTCAAAAAATGCTTAGTCTACTTGTACACACTCGATATATATAATGGATTATACCCCCATGGACGGGGGCCCGCATACAGTCATGTACATCAAAAGTTTACAAGTTGCTCAATATCCCGCTGGATTTGTTCCTGCTAGTTAGAGAAGGCATACACTTTGACATATGTTTGTCTCATTGGTCCAAGTTTCATTTATTTATTTATTTAGTTTCAATTTGGTCACTACATTTTACTTTCCAAACGAGTTTCGTAGATTAGACTAACGAATTCTCAACCTACTATCAAGATTCGAACTAAGTTATTGACCATTTTGTTAGGTTCATTATTATGACCAACTAGATTCTTGATACCAACAAGAAATTAGCTAATTCGTCGTTCATTTAGACTATCACCATCTATAAGAGTTAGCATTTTTTCTCATTTCTTTTCATTCTTGAATGACCATAAAATCCTAGTTTGTACTACTATTAGTTTTGTTGAAGCCATAAAATTTATTTTTGGATCTAAAGTTTTCACACGGCCAACCTTCAAATTGAGATTGAGTAATAAATAAGTGATGCTAAACACCAGTTTATATGACTCTGACTGATATCATTATTCATTGAATTTTGATTTTGACGAACATAGGGTACCCTACCAGAGGAGGAGTGGCATTTCACAACCAATGGTCATTCTTACTTCAACCCACAGACGGATGGAGGGGGATTGGGCTGGGCTGTAGTCCCCCCCCCCCCCCCCCCGCCCCAAAAAAAAAAATTTTTTTTTTTTTTTTTTTTATAAAAAAATTTTTTTTGTTTTTTGTTTGTAAAAACAATTTTTTTACATGTAAATTTTTTTTTTCTCATTATAGTCCGACTTGAAATTTTGTAATCCAGTCTTGAATCCAACGTGGATCCGTCCTGCTTCAACCTAGTCTGGATCACCAACATTGGAGGTGTAGGTGATGTCCAAGCAATTTCAATTAAAGGTTCAAGGACTAGATGGCTACCATGTCTCAAAACTGGGGGCAAAATTGGTAGAGCAACACTGATCTTGACGATCAAAGCCTCTCTTTCAAAGTCACCACTAGTGACGGCTGCATGGTGGTCTGCAGCAATGCCTAGACCCACCAGTTGGTCCTTCGATCAAACTTTCACTTGTGGACAATTCAATTGAAATTATCCTCCACCTCTCACTGACCTATTCGACTTTAGGGTTAAAATAATTAATTCATCTAATTTATGCGTTGTTTCTTAGCATAGTAAGTGTATCATAGAATTTATAGTTCATAAACGTTTCTGATACTTGTGCATGCATAAATGAACTTCAAGAAAAATATATAATGTAGGTCCAAGTCAAATTGGGGTAAGAGCTTATTTTAGAGGTGGCTCTAGCAATTTTTGGTCACGTGATGCATGGCTTTTTAGAAGGGCGAAATTGGGTAGGGATGGCAACGAGGTGGATCAGGGTCAGTGCAACCTCTCCCACCCCATCGGGTAATTTCTCATTCCGTACCCGTCCCCGTTACTCATTTAAGGCAAGGCAGGGCCCTTTCCAGTTTACTATTCGTTTAAATTTTTAAAATTTTTTGATAATTCATTTTATTGTTCACATTCGTTAAAGTAAGACAATAATATATTAATTAATTAATTTATTTATTTATTTATTTTTGAAGGTTGAATTATTCAAATATATTTGATAAACTAAAGTTTTATTTTTTTATTATTTAGAGGGTGTTTGACACTCATTTTTATAGAAAAATGAATTTTAAAATAGTAGATTGATGAAAAATGTATGGATGAAAAATAAGAATTTTTTTTTTTGATTTACATATAATATTATTTTAATGAAGAATGTGTGGTTGAAAAGAAGAAAGAAAAAAATGAGAATCAAACGGGCCTTAAATAATTTTAGTTGTTATCTTCTATTGGAACTAATGAAAATTTCTAAAATTTTCCATTTAAAGTATTGAATTTAAAAATAAATAAATGGGACGGAGTGGGGCAGGGCCCTTGTTACCTGTACCCTCCTGGGGCAAAGTCTCCCGCCCCAAATACCCGATTAAGCGAATAATCTCTACCCCCTTCAAAATCGAAACTCCCTGGGTATCGAGTTTGACGGGTTTTTGCCATCCTTAGAATTGGGTCAGTGGTAGGTTTTTGACCCGATGCGACTCGACCCGACAATACTTCATGGAGTTGTGTTATTTTATTAACGATATTGGAAAACACATTTTGATTGAATTGACAGACTATTTGAAAAAGGTGAAAGTGTTCTTAGACAAAGTGCGATTTGATACGAGATTGATATTGATACGTGGACTTTTTTTTATTTGATAATCAATAAAGGACCAATGGCGTTTGTTGATTTTGTTGTTCTAGACAAACTCTCCACCCAAAAATAAATAATAAAAAAAAAATTTAATTTTTGCAACTTCAGTTTCGGCTTCATCACCCGTTTAAGCCGTATATTTCCCTTTTAACCTCTTCGAATGTTCAAACATACGGAAGAGAATCCTGCTGTTGCGAAAAGTACCCACCATGGAATTCAAAAAAAGTGATTCGTTCACGATTATGATTTCTATTGATTGAATTTTCTATTCTGGGTGGCATGCGGGTAGGGTTGTTTCCTTTCTTTTCTTTTTCTTTTTTGATATCCAGGTATCCTAACTTACACTAAACTAAATCCTGGACTTTCAAGACCCTTACCCCTAGAACCTTAGAGGGGGTAAATCGCGGGTTATGCCTCAACTGGATCACAGGTTCCCCCCACCGCCTGTACACTTCTGCGCACAAGAGATCCTCCTCCAAAGTGATTGCTTCATACCAAATAAATCTGGCCGCAGGTTCCCACCAAGATTCGAACCTCCACCCTGTCGTTGGAAGCAAGACAAATGTTGATTGATCCACCAGTTAAGCTGTGCCCGGAGGGCGGGTTGTTTCCTTTCTTGATGGGATGGGACATAGCGAAGGAGATCCAGTTTATGGTTACAACTTCACGTGTGGCGATCTAATTCAAATTTGGGTCCGGTCGAGTTACATCTAACTGAAATATGGCTTACTATTCCAACACGTGGTTCGACTCTATGATCATAATTTGAATTGGTCTTGAAATCTAACTAGACCCATTAATGAGGCCCTGAATAAAAGAAAATTCTCTTACCTTGCCATATGGGTAGCCCACGAAGCAATTCTTTTAGTCCGCCACATACAAGGGAATTAACACAAAAGGTGTTACACGATATAAATTTACAATGGTAGTACTCTTTTTAAGACTTCTAATTATAGTACTTGGGCCGCGAGAAAGACGAAATCTACCCTTCTGAGTTGCATTGGTATGATTTTTCACTGCATTGGCACAACTTTATAATGTGCCACCTTTATAAATACTGAATGAAGAAATCAAGACTATTTCTGATCAACTAGTCGAGAATACTTGAAAGTCAATAATTTACAACAGTGGCATATTTTATTTCTTCTGATTTGGATATTTCTCATTAAATTAATTGTATACCATTTCTGTATCGTGGGCCACTCACAACAATTTGAAGTATCGGAAGTTTTAAGCTCTTTGTGCAAACTCTCCTAAAATTAGTGCAAACAACTATCACACAAGCAAGATATCCTTCGCTAGATAGATAAACTTCAAATTTGACACTTGTCATAAACTGATTGGATGGAGGAGATTCCACGAAGGCAAGATCTTCCAATCTGTAATTGTCTGATCAAGCCACGTGATAATCAAAGGGATCCCATACGATCTTATAAAGCCAACAACTGCAAAGAATTAGATTTGTGGATATGACTAAGATTTAAGGATAAGAGAATTCACTTCTCATTGGCTAATCTGAAATTCACAAACAAATCTCAGCCGTTGAGTCCAAAAAATCTGCCAAATCATCTGTTCAAGTTTTGTATTGAATCAGCACCACAGGATTTCAATTGAAAAGACATACAAATGCATACAAAAATAGCTACATTTTTAGCACAATTGATCCACTACATTTTCTTGGAATTCAAACCAATATCCAATTAGGAAACATGGCCGCGACACAAGCTTCGATTGCCGCTTTCCGGCCATGCGCATCGAAAACCCGGTTTTTGAGTGGATCATCTGGGAAACTGAGCAGGGAAGTGTCGGTTAAACCCGCAACTTCTTCGTCCTACAACTCATTCAAAGTCGAAGCCAAGAAAGGCGAGTGGCTACCCGGCTTGGTCTCTCCCGGTTATCTTGATGGCAGGTTTGTGACTCAATCTAGTTACATTTAGTGATGTGCCTCTCGTATTGGTAGAGGCAAAATCTAAATCGAGTGGAGTTGAATTATTGGCTATATTAAGTTTGTGTTCACTTGATTTCAAGATCTCAAATGATTTTTTAGGGTGCAAACTTGAGCTAAGTTTAGACTATATTGACTTGTTTAGTAAAGCGGTTTTGATAGCACTCAAAAACATTAGCGACTAAAACGATGTTCAAATTTTGTATTCTTGTGATCCAATACTGCATAATCAAACATGCCTTTCTGCGTAATATAAGATTGGTTTTCCGGACAATTAGACAATCTTGGTTGTGTTTTTTCAGTCTTCCTGGTGACAACGGATTTGATCCATTGGGACTAGCTGAGGATCCAGAGAATTTGAAATGGTTTGTTCAGGCAGAGCTAGTAAATAGCAGGTGGGCAATGTTGGGTGTTGCCGGAATGCTGTTGCCTGAAGTTTTCACCAAGATTGGCATCATTAATGTTCCCGAATGGTACAATGCTGGAAAATCCGAGTACTTCGCCTCATCCTCGACCCTTTTGGTGATTGAGTTCATTTTGTTTCACTATGTCGAGATCAGAAGGTGGCAAGACATCAAGAACCCTGGAAGTGTGAACCAAGATCCCATTTTCAAGAACTATAGCTTGCCTCCAAATGAAGTTGGATACCCTGGTGGCATTTTCAACCCCTTGAACTTCACCCCAACCGAAGAGGCCAAGGAGAAAGAGCTTGCAAATGGTAAGATAAGAGCACTTTACTCAAACCAGTCACATTTGTATGTTTGGTATATCAGTACTATCCAATTTAGTCGTGCCAAACATGCCGTCAAAAACAATTTTCGGTATTGTATACTAAATTGTGTGGTGTACTTTGCAGGGAGATTGGCAATGTTGGCATTCTTGGGATTTGTGGTTCAGCACAATGTGACTGGGAAGGGACCATTTGAGAACTTGTTGCAGCACCTCTCAGACCCATGGCACAACACAATTATTCAGACATTCAGCAGTTAATTTTTTACATATTGGAGAAGAAAATGAAATGAAATGAAAGATCATCTTTCTTATGTTTAATCTTGAGTGAATTGTTTCGACCTTGATTTGATCTGAATTTGTAAACAACGAGCCTTCAATGTACAGGGAACTAAAATGGCATATAGTCTTCTCTAAATTATTCACAAATATAAACAAATTCCCATGAACAAGTAGAAAGCCAAGCAAGTTTCACAACACACACAAACCTTCCTCCGGCTTGGGCTCGGTACAACCTTGAGTGATGGCTGAACAAAAACTCGCATAAAGGAAAACGGCAAGAGAATAATGCCTGTTTATATGAAGAAAGCTCTTATTTTCTGGTGATGTGTTTAGTCTATGGCAAATGTCTTAGTAATCTGAAACGATTGAATGAGCCACAGAGCCATTGTCTGGAGCTGCTCTATAAATCCAATTTAGAACTGAAAACTTGAAGCAACTTTCAGCTAGTTGTTCAAGCGGTTTAGTGGCTGCAAAATACAAATTACTTCAACTTGTCAGATATCTGCCATAGCTAGTAGATTAATAGCAATTAGAATTTAGCATCAAACATAACTAAATAAATTGATAAAGCCAAGGCGCCTTTTTTATTTTATATTACTCATGTAAGATGTTGCAGAAGGGCAGCAAGATTATCTCAATTCAACAGATTATGCTATTCAGTATTCAGGGATTGACATCCATGTATATCAATCTACGGCGGAAGATAAGTAAAAGATAAAAATATGAAAGTGCAGTGAAAAGTACTTCTTTATGTCAATCGACAGTGGTAACTAAGTGAATCTTCAAGTAATTATGCAATTAAATCAGGCTTTTGACAGGAAAAAAAAAGTGCCCCATTCATTAATAACGTGTCTTTGATTTCTCAGATTAATAATAATCAATTTCTAGCTCAAGAAAACGTGGTTTGTGGTTTGTCATTTCCCAATCGCACTCTTTCCACAACTAAAATATTATGCTATCAACAATCAGAGACAATTATTATTTTTCATGGCTATCAAAGGAAAAAAAATGGTATTCTTTTCATGAACTACAAAGGAAGAATCAGCTATCGAAATCCTGCTAACAAATGCCATAAATTGAGAAGGAAACTCACCTGTTGTTGATAGGAGTGATCATTAAGGTTAGACAGGACAGAAGGGCCAGGTGCCGATACCAAATTATGTTGGAAATCGTTGTAAATGGATCTTGGTAGTTCAAAATTGCCATTAATTTGATAATCCATGGAACTCGCTTGAAAATTCACCTCTCTTTCAGGCTTAATTTGATAATCAAAGGTACTGGCTTGAAAATTCACCTCTCTTTCAGGCTCCATCAATTCTGGTACATTTAAATTCCCGTATGAATGGTAGGAATATTGCTCGCCTAGAGGTAGTCTCATGTGAGAAGAACTATTGGTATAATCATTAATGGTAATCGTGTCTTGTCTTCCAATATCCACGAGTTTTGAATTGGCAAGGTCTGCTTCTTTCTTGACACCAAATAAACCCGAAGAGCTTGGAAGGGATGTATCTATGGAGCACCCCATATCTCTACAGAGCAAGAACAGAAATTAAAGAGATTGTATAACACAGCATGCTAGTTCAGCAACAATGTTGAAAAAACACTCGCAGTAGATTTTATTTAATACATATAATTTTAACACATTAGAAGATAAAATCCCTTGTCAAATTGAATTTCTTAGTTTGATCCACGACTGAGAGTACAAAATTGTATGCTTGTCCGTCATTGTTCCTGGATATGTCTTGTAAAGTTGACTACTAAACCTTGCATTTGCAACTTAGATAGTGTGAAAAACACAAAATTGGAATTTCTTTATTCACTCAGAAAGGTAACAACATTCAAACTGCTATCATGGATACAAATATCGATTCTAGCATGGACACTTCAATTAGGGTAGCGTGTCCGTACCCGACACGTGTCTGAATTAGGGAAACGCGTCCGTGTTCGACACGTGTCGATACCGACACTCCTTGGACACTCTACCATAAACATTTTTCATTCTTTATTAAAAATATTATATATTTTTAATTCAAAATTATTGATAAATAACAAATAGGTACTCATATTTAAAAAATTTAAGCAAAATAATAATAATAATAATATTAACATGTATAAAACTAAATTTATACTATATAAATGAAGATTTTTTAATAATTTAATCAACGTGTAGCCGACCTGTCGTGTTGGTACTTTTTTGGAAAATCACATATCGGCGTATCCGACACGTATCGTGTCGGACACACATTTCCTTGACGGTGCATCATAGAATATCGTTGTATCTAAATTCACAAAAAACTACAAAAATCACAAGTGTGCCTAATTTTATACAAGTAATTCAATTCTTTTAAGAAAAATAGGAATATAGAAATCAACTCACCTACAAGACAAAAAATTGGGTTCGTCTGGTAGCATCATATGTTGCCTCTCAACATTTGGAAACCACGTCTGTGTTTGGCCATCCTGATCACCACCATTAATCATGGGAAAATGCATCCCATATTCGGCCTGGAATGCATGACATTAAATATTATCCGAATCAAATATACTTGCTATAAATTTCCATCACTACCAAAGTCATCTCGCACAAAAACCTAATACGCAATAAGATAGAAGTAGAGTCAGAGAGAATTCTCCACTGGAAGATTGCTTCTTTACCTGGCTGGTGCAATCTAACGGCATAAGTTGGTCATTCCCTAAGTTTTCCAGCTGAAACGAACTCTGGACATTTACTTCTGTTAGAAAAGGTCAGACAGCATCCAAAAAAACCACTCAAACAATTAACACTAACATATGCTGCAAATTATCAGTTTTTGGCCTCTGTCCATACTTGGTCAGGCGGGATGAGGTACAGCCGGAGACATTGATATATTAGTTATTAATTTTTAAATATTGTGAAATTTTTTCACAAATTTGACTCAGTAGCTTATGACATGCAAAACAATTATTTTAAGAATCAGGACCAAAATCTTCCAAATACCTCATATTTCTTGGACATACGAAACAAAACTTTACCTTTTGCATGTGAATTCTATTGAGTGATTCCCTAAGTGAATTTTCCATCTGACAGAGATGTTCAATGTCTTCGATTTTGTCGGGATTAGTCCAGAAGCTGCAGCCAGAAAACAGTTAACTAAACATATTAACTGATGACGAGTTCACCAACTTTGCAAGATTGCAGAGGAAAAATTGAAGTTAAACATGAAAAGAAATAAATACTATGATAGTCACTGTTACGAGAAAATGTAGGATCTTTGCCAAACTAAATTGTATTTGGAGTGGATTATGATTTCTAAAGATTGTAACTGAGGCTATAAGATAGAGAAGGTGTTATTTTATATGAGCAAATTAGTGCTTGAATAAAAGTGGTCAGAGTATATGTTTTCAAATATTCAAATCCTATTTACTCAGAGAAGAAAGAGAAATCAGTAATTTAATAAGGATGATTATTTAGTTTATTTTCTTTTTGACACAGATTGGTTGGAGCTTTGAATACCATGAAATCATATCATAATCAAAGAGTTTACCTAAAAGTAGTACATAATTGACTAACAGTTCTAGAGAGTTACCCAAGTCTTTTCTGGACTTCTGTAAGTTGCGCTTGCAGTATCTTTGCCTGGTTGAGCATTTCCTATAAGCAACCATGAAAATATTAATCAAGGAGGACTAGTTGAAACTAACACTAGAAGGAAAATTGAAGAAGTACAAGTGATGCTGGCATTGATAAATGATGAATACCTCAATTGAGGGAGAACTGAAAAATGGAAAGAAGAAGGAAAAAAATGTCAGTCAGATAGTACATTAAGGTCAAGCATATATAATCAAGCTATATAATTTCATACCTTGCAGCCATAAACTCTTCAATATCCACATCTTGATCGAGCTTCTTAAAGTTTCTCTTTAAAGTCTATCATGTAAATGAACCAAAATAATTATGTTTCGCTTCCTTTGGGCAAGAAAGTGGACAGAATGAAAATGGAAAACATAATTGACTTCAAACAACAAACTTACTTCGAGACTCTCCAACCTCCTGTATAATTCTCAACAAAAGAAGCAAAGAAAAGAAAAAGAACAAGGGAATTATTTTGCATTGATAGAACTTCAATTTCACAGAATCAATGTAAGTTGAAACATAGCAACTTACCTTTTGGTCCTTTCTGTTGGAGATAGTTGTGCATATTTAGCAATCATCTCATCAAGGTTGCTGAAGACAAAAGAGAAAACTATTAATAGATATTTAACCCATCTTTGGTCCATGCACAACGTTTACCAATAATTAGCAGTCCATTCATAGTCTATGCGGCATATTATCAAAACAAGCTCGAACTAAGACTCTTTATTAATCTTCACTACCTGCTTCCTCCATTTTAATAGTTACTGAACTCCATTTTGTACTCGCAATTTTTTATTTATTTATTTTTTGAGGTGTGTGTATGTGTTGGGGGGGGTGGAGGGTCTAAAAGAAATTAAATTCTTTAATCAATAAACGCCATTCAGGTCATTTTTGTTCACTGAAAGGAATTTAATGCACACTGAAGTGAACTCAGGAAGCACTCGTCTTCACCATCAAAAGTTAACATTACAAAACTATCGGTTTGTGGACACATAGATGTCAAGGACATTATATAATTCTAATGAAATTGAACATACTAGCAGAAATTCACAAGTTTCAAAGGGACGGGTTGCAAGAGGTTGGGGCAGGTCAACAACAAACAACAAACAAGAAAATAAGCCTTCTTTCCAATAAATTGGAGTTGGCATCAGTATCAGATAACATTTCCTTATGTAATATGACAGAAATTTAGAAGTTACGCAGACAGTTGATACATAATTTAACAGTCCTGTCAACTCTTAAGCTATACCAGCACCACATTAAAAGTCCTGCTTCAATCTGCAGTGCAGGTGAGTCTTTTGGTATCAAATTCCTCGGCAATCCACCAATCACATCCCCAGCCTTGCAATATAATAACTGCCACAAGCCTAGCAAGACTACAAGATCTTATTCCACATCAATTAATACTTTCAAATGACCATCTGAGCATGGAAAGCTCTCTACGCATTGTCATGGATACTTTAATATGGTATCAGAATTGGGATTCCAAAAGTACAAGACAAGTCTTTGTTATTATTTCATTAATTGTTTAAAATTTCTCCTTATTTTGCATTTTATTCATATTATTGTCATAGTAGCATCTGATTCTTATTTCTGGATCGATTCATCCTTACACCACACCTCTCATCACCTACTTCCATGTATGGGGGAGCATAGCAATTGGCAGTTTGCACCTCGGTCAAATGCACTATGTCCTACATCGACTTACACTTATGAAATCAGTATAAGATTGGACAATCTCTCTACTCATTACCTATTCATTTTGATTAACCGCTTTTAACGATAGTTATGCATCTACTCACAACTAAATCCAACGTTTAAAGACAAGAAAATTCAAACCAAACAAAGAAAGAAACTCCATCACATGCTCAAGCACAGTACACCATAATGTAATATAATTCATGCATTATACAGGTACCTGTGTTGTCCACGAAAAATTGAAGGTTTTCCAGTCGGAGAAAACATAAGGAGAATAATGTCAATGTCACATAACACTGATATTTCCTGAGCTTTCTTTAAAATTCCAGCCCTACGCTTGCCATAGGTACCGTTCCGGCTGGTCATGCTCTCCAATCTCTGGATCTTTAACTTGACCCTTCCCATTCTACAATCAAAACAAACCAAAACCATCTAAATTCCATCTCAAAAATATTTATTAAGGTATAATATCCTCTAATAATATCTATATGCCATATCAATTTTGAAATTAATTTTTCTCTATGTTCTTTCTTCTATTCAATTATTTTCGTTTGTTTCAATTAAGGAATAACATCAAGAATCAACAACAAATATTAACATTTTGTCTAATATCTCTTAATTTCAGATATGAAGAGATGAATGGATGTGGAATCACCTTGAAGCAACGAATTCGCTAAATGCTCAAATCGACAAACAAATTTACCGTGTCCCTCTATTCCCACATAAACTGGAAAAGATGAGCAATTCAAAATATCTAAACAAAACAAGATTCCAAGAATAAGATATACCCACGTCAGGATTTGAATGAAAAATCCAGAACCCCAGTTTCGATTTTGGATTAAAATCTATATAGAATGAAATTAACACACATTACACAATATCCTAATATTGGCATATCCAAATTAGGAAATGCAAACTGGTTTATAAAATGGAGACGAAGAAACATTTAAACGGAGGAATAATTAACGCAAGAATGAGAGAGAAATGGCTAAAGAGAAGGAGAGATAGAGAGCTCAAGAGGTTAAGCTGTGATTTCGCTGGTTAAAACTCGCGGGAGGACCCAACCAACGTTTTGAGTGTAAACAGACAAGGTCATTCTTGTGCATCATTGAAAATAAATAATAAATAATAAAAAAATAAAATAATTATAATCTGATAAAAACTTTGCCAAACATACCTTTAAGGATCAGAGACTTAGCTCGTCCCTCGTCTTATTAGCACACCAGTAAATGGTCTCTAAATAATAAGAAACACGATCGAGTTGAATAATTACAATTACACGAGGTAAGCAATACCATAAGTCAAATTAACCTCGTTATGTGTTCTGCAAAATCAAGTTCAGTAACTAAGATAGAGACAAAATATAGTTTAGTGATTTAATATTGATGTTTTAAAGTTTAGGAACTATATAATCTTGTGCAAAATGTTACATCTCAAAACCAAAGCTCAAGAAGAAGCCCACACCTCAAATTGAGGTTTAAGAAGCCCAAACAAAATGTCCAAACTCCGCGTCATTAAAAAACCGAACCAAAGCACTATGTAAGTGGTTGAAGCCCTAAAACTGAAGTGCCATGTAAGTAGCTAAAACCTTGAAACCAAAGCACTATATAAATGACTAAAGCCCTGAAGCTAAAACACTATAAGTGATCGAAACCCTGAAACCGAAACACTATAAAAGTAACCGAAACTCATATTACCGAAGCAAAAGCCTCAAGGAGAATATTTCATATTCACTTTTATCAAGAGATCTTCTATATAAAGATTTTATGCGAATGATTGACGTGACCTATGTTGTAGCAGAAGAATGTCAAGTCTTGTCAGCCTACTATATAGGTACTCAGACCTAGGCCCTAGAGTGGCTACCTTTTCAGAGCGCATTAAATGATGCATGCCTAGCATGTGTGAATTGATGCCTAGGATAGGATGCTTCGATTAATGAGATGAAACCACGTGCCTCCCCATTCAATGGAAACCATTTCATATGTAACACTATAATTACCTCTTCTTTATATCATTTTAAGGGCAATGGAACTCTATATTTAAAACCACACTCAATCTCCCCTCTTGATTATTCCACACTTATTGACTTGAGTTTAGTTTGTTTTCACTTTGGTAGAGTTAGTCACAATTGTCTGTTTATGTGAAATCATTTTTTATCATATTGTCGATGCTTGAACGTTTTTCATCTTGTGTCATCAAGCATCTTCCACGTTTATAAACGCCGTCCATTTATGTCTGGATTTTCGATCAAAATGTGTCGAAATTTGTTTGTTTGGGCGTGAATGAACCCGGTATTTGTTGTCCATGTGATCATTACGAAAACTGGGTCAACACAAAATATTTGATTATGCATGACATAATTGAATCAATTTGTGAAATAGATGGGTTGATTTTGGATACTAATACAATGCAGGAAGTTGATCAAAGTTCACTTGTAGCTTTATGAGTAAGATTAGTTTTAAGAAAATTAAAGTAGACACGTCTCCGTTTTGTGTTACTAATATAGTGAGTCGATCAAGTTGACTTAAAGTTCATTTGACAAGGTTTTTAAAAAAGTTAAAATTACTTTCGAGACTAATGTGTGAATAATTTTTTAAAAGTACTTTTTTTGACTATAAAAACCTGCCAAACACTCCCTTATCACATTAATAGTAAGATTACATTTAAGAAGAGTAAATTAAGCATTTCATTAATTTCGGGCTTGATTTTGTGACACGTATAATTTAGTCTCAATTAATTAATAAATCATTGGTAAATTGAGTTAAAATCAAATATTAATTTCAATTATATATTCATACATACTATTTATTGTTATTCACATATTTCTTTGAACTTATTAATATTTATCTTTATAAAGCTATAAGTTTACCAAACGAAAGCTTGATAAGTTGATCACGTTCTTTAAGAGTAAGATTACTTATAATAAAACCCAAATGTACATGTCATTCAGCTTAGGCTCGATTCTTGCCACTCGTACAATTTATTAAGCCTTCAAACAAAAGAGAAAGAAAGAAGACCAATACAATATTACACATGAACGCCCATGAGCTTTACAAATTCATCAAAATCAATCCGTTCATCTCCATTAGAGTCCATCGCAACAATCATTTTCCGACATTCTTGGTCGGAGAATTGTGTTAAACCTAGTGAACTGAGTACTTTGTTCAACTCACTCGCAGCAATATAGCCATCATTATTTTCATCAAAAACATTAAATGCCTCTTTCAATAACTCCAAGCGAGTCTCATTTTCCTCGAAAGCACCTAAAATGTCCTGGTCTCCTAATGCCTCTTTCGGGTCAAAAACTAGTCCCAAATTATGAATTACTATTTCAACATCTCTCGTGCTAATCAAAGTCTCGTTGCTCGTACTACAACTTTGTACAATCGAAACTTTGTCATAAACAGTGTCTACTTGAGTTCGAATACTAAATAAGAGACGAGAAATGGTTCGGAATAAGCCCCGAAAAGTAAGGTACAAGTCTTTAAATGTAAAAATGAAGCTGAAAAATATACACCATAAGATCAAAGAAATGAATTCCACAGTACTAGCTGCTGCTGCACCACAAATGTATTTGACACTGCCACTTGCTGAACTCATCGTAAATTTATCGCGAACTTTAAGCATAAAACTCGGGTTTTTACAAGTGAAAGAGTGGATAAAGAGGTTGTAAACTCTCGTTTACTACTTAATACTATGACTTGTTAGTGTGCTCAAGTTCTTGTCCATTTTATAGGAAGCAAAGCTTATAAATGCATTTGAAGAAGCTTCACTGAATTTTCCTTTAAAGTTGAAATTGACACCTTTTTCATAATTGTTTTTTAACCGTTGGAATAATGTATAGGAGTTGATACTTTTCTTGGGAACCTTCCTACTGGGAAGTGGGAAGGCACAAATTTGGGCTTTCTCTAATTATCTTAAGTTGATTGTATTTTCTCATTCTTACTCTCGGATACTTTGAGGGTAATTTCATATGCAATTGAACTTTTAGTAAAATTTCAATGAGGTTACTAAACTTTACTTTATATTCATTGGATCATTGAACTTCAATTTCGTTTCAATTTCATCACTCGGTCACATTCCGTCACCTATTCTCCCCCAAATTGGTGGAAATTACTTAATTCAAAATCCTCCTATAATTGATGTTCTAGGAAATCACTCTATGGCGCCCCGAGAATGTAAATGGTAAAATGAGAATCATGATAGTATCTTTTGATTATAATGTTAAATAAGTGTTATTTTGTTGTAACACTTTATGACATAGTGTATGGTAAATTGACATGTCACATAACAATTACGAGAAATATTCGTTGTAGTAGGGCTTCCAATTATGCTATGTACATGTTAACTACTCTAATTGAGACATTAATATTTAATAACCTAATTGAAAATTTGCTGAAAGTTGTGTACATGTTTTGGAGTTGTTTATAATGAATTTAAATAAATAAAAATAAGCAATACGTAAACGAGTAATATTAGGGATTCCATGAAATATATAGATAAAAAGTTATTTAATTGATTATAAAAAATAGCCGAACAAGAGCTTAGTGGCACTTGTGTTTGAATGAACTCAATAATGTAAAAAGAAAAAATGATAACTTTTTATTTTATAATTTGCCTTATTTAATATTATGTAGTGCACGCATTCTAGTGTTGTTTGATGTAACTTAAAAATTTATTAAAACGTTAAAAGTAAAGTTAATAATTAATTTTTAACCACATATCTTACCAAATTGCAATTGCATTCATCTTTTGTATCTCACATTCCGGGGTAACTTGCTGTCTTGACTCCATACTTATATTCTCGATAGTCGATAGTGAGATGGATTTTAAAAGTTTATTTGTTGTCTTGCCCCAAGACAATGGTAGTGCTGAGAATTTTCTTACAACTTCCTTGTTGTCTTGTCTTGTCGTGTCTCATCAGTTTTAATATTTTCCACGAAGTCAAGGTCTTTTGTTATAGTGTCAAGTCAAATACTGAAGATAATAGTATTTTAAAAACCTTTATTTTGATAAGCCGAACCAAACAATAATTATATGGCCTAAAACCTAGAAAGTTAAGTGTGAACTAACACCTATTAGGGCTTCACATTTCATTTTCATAGAAATTTATTGCAATTAAATTCAAAAGAGAGTAAATTGATACCTCAATTATGGAGTGGACCTTGACTTGTGGAAAATAAAAGTTTTTCCATTTGTACAGAAATGGTTTCATAGAAACAATACAGAACGCTCACATGTGGTGGATCTCATGTAAATAAAATAGTACAAAAAATAAAATAAAAATGAAATCACCCCATCTGCTGTGTACGTTTTGAAAGGATTTTGTGAACCACTTCTCTGTACACACAGCAAGTTTCAAAAAATAAATATAGATAAACTCACAACAATGGAAGTGTAGGAGAAATTTCAATGCCTTTGCCTTAGGGAAGCAAACTCTTGAAAGACTATCTTATTATTAAGCATATGGTAAAGGAGCAAGTTATGCATTGCAGCATAGGATAGGGTACATTATATACGTAATATTGAATAGAATTAGACAGCTCAGATTACAAGGTTTTAACCTTTTTTTTTTTTTTTAAATTCTTAAGTTCACCATCAATAATGCCATTAAAAAACAATAAATAATTTTTTGTTTGAAAAATAAAAAAAATTAAAATATCCAATTTTCACCTCGTTTTCATACATATAGTTTTGCCTTCAAAATTTCAAACGTGTAATCACAAATATAGATGAATGAATTACTCTATGGTAGTGTTTGATTCCGCCATTTGTTCCATAGAAAATGAAATTTGTGTTCCGCCATTTGTTCCATAGAAAATGAAATTTGTGTTCCGCCATTTGTTCCATAGAAAATGAAATTTGTGTTCCGCCATTTGTTCCATAGAAAATGAAATTTGTGTTCCGCCATTTGTTCCATAGAAAATGAAATTTGTGTTCCATTATTCAACTTTTAGGTGTTTGATTGTCCAAAATTTTCTCTAGAATAGAAATTTTCACCTTCTTGCTATGTCAGCATTTTCCATCAATTCAAGGAATTCCAATTCTCATCAAAATGGTGAGAATTGGAATTCTCGATTACTGTAGCACATTTTTTTTTTTTTTTTTGCAATGGAAACAAATTCTAAGAATTATTGTAAAAAAAATTCCCTTTAACTGACAATTTTCATGTAAAACAAAGTCAAACGAATATCAAAAGATAGATGTTTTTCTTGATTTTTTTTGCAATAAAAATAAATTTCATCCCCAGTACCAGTAAATTTCATCCCTTTTAATTGATAATTTTCATATAAAACAAATCTAAACGAAAACCAAAAAAATATTTTTATTTCAATATTTTCCAAGTGAAAAATTATACCAATCAAACGTAATAATTTACAATTCCCGGGAAAATAATTTTTAAACAATTCAATTCTCTAGAATTTGTTTTATTTTCACCAAAATTTCATCTTTATTACAAGTCTCTACGGATAAGACAGAAAATAATCAAGAAATTAATCTATAATTTTTTTTTTCGTGTGACAATGTGTCATAATGACAAAAAATAATTTTTGTTGTCAATATTGCTTCAATACATGTTGAACACAACTTAGAATAAGGATTATTTGACAAGTATTAATTATACTCAATTTTGATTGGACAAAAAATTGATATATTAGTTCATGTTTGAGCCTCATTATTTTATTTTTTTTAAAATTCATTTTCAACCATATATTTTTTTAATAAAATAATTTTACATGCAAACTCAAAATATTTTCCTACTTTTTAACCACACAATTTTTTTCCTTCCAAAAAATGACTATTACAAAATCTATTTTTTTTAAAAAAAAATAAAAAAATTGAGGTCGAACTTATTCTAATTGGACTTTTAACAACATTTTATTCTATGAAAATCAAGGGATTTTCAACGAATTAAGCAACTGGGTCTCGACTGACCTTTTTTCCCCCCTTAAACTTTTAGGTTAATTTCATTTCGGCCACTAAGCTTTCAACGAAGGCTCAATTAGGTTATCCAACTTTTATCTATCTCAATCGGGTAAATTATTCGTGAGCGCCCATTACTAAACTTTACCTCACAATCCTATGTTAGTTTCCATTTTCCAAGTAATAATGCCAATCAATCATGTCGTGGTACAAAAATCCTGACTTTGAGAATGAATTGAGCTCTTTATATGCTCCATAGAATGAATAGATCTCTTAACGTAGGATTGTGACATGGAGCTTAGTAAAATAAGCAAATGAAATGACTAAAATTGAAATCCAACAATCTATTTAGATAAATTAAAGCCATTTTTCATTACTAGAACTATTTGTTTTAGTAATCTCAAAAGCGGAAAAAGGCGGGGGGCTAGGTGTAAAGTGTAAGAAAAAAGTCTCATGTATGGAAAATACTCGAATAAAGCAATCAATTCTATTTTTATCACTTGATGCATGCCTACGAGCCAAAAGGGTCCCGTTTGGTCTCTATTAAATTAAATTTCATTTTTATCTCTCCTATTTGCAATCATACAATCTTCTGTAAAATAATATTATACGTCAATCGAAAAATTTTCATTTTTTTTAAACCACTCAATTTTTAAAAAAATACTATTCCGCCTATTTTAATTTGACAAAATGGAAGCCAAACAAAAGCTTGAAGAAATAAGGGATTTGCTACATATGCCCTAGCGTTTACACGCCCCTCACATGGAGGCGAGTCCCACACATTTATTGTACACTAGCCCCGCCCCCAATATGAAAGGCGGGTAATCGGGCGTATAAACGCTCGGGTACAAATAGATTAATCCAAGAAATAATGGTCCCTGTCATATTACCTAGCTTTTGAATTTTGACAACCACATCTCTGTATGAACATTTCATTTGCTGAAACAGTCCTTATTTCTCTTTCTCACGTTAACTGCTCGCGTGTAATTCAAACACCTAATAGTTATTTCATTGAGTAATAAATAAAAAATTTCAAATTACACACCAAACATGATCCCCGTTAAATTAATTTTTATTTTTCTCTCTTCTATTTTTTACCATACATTTTTTCATAAAATAATATTATATGTAAATTGAAAACTTTTTTTTCTTGTTTCAACCATCTATTTTTCTAAAAAAAATAAAAATAAATTATTCTATTCATTAAAATTTGAAATAATGGGGCCAAACGGGGAAAATTCCATTATGTTGTCATTCCATTTTGTACAACCTTATTTTGTTCAATACTAGAATTTTTTTTTTATACTTGCTCTTAAATACCTTGGCCATCACTTAATTCAAGCAAACCAATAAATCAATTCCATTATCAAATCATATGCATTGTTATGTGTTTTAGGAGCACTTTTGGTAGGTGTATTGAATTAGTTAGGATTGTTTAACAAAATTTTTGATAAAAATTATAACAGATTTTGATAAAAGTTTGCGAAATAATGTTTAAAAAATCGATAAAAATTGTATCTCTCATAAAGTATATAGTTAAAATTGGAGTTTGACCAATTGAAAAGTTGATAAATTTTAACAAAATTTTATCAAAAGAACACTTGATGAAAAAAGTTAAAACTACGTAAAATTGCACCGTCTAATTCTATTCAATATCGTGCATCGCACATGTCATGGCTAGACTTTTCGTGCACTCATCGTGTGTATTCCACACTCCATTGCACGACTTCCTCATCCAATGCTTGATAGTGACTAAAGAGAGTAAGTATTTTAAGAGTTTCCTTGGTAGGCCCCCAAGACAAATGAAAGTATGAAATTTCTCATGCACTTTCATTGTCGTGGCTTTAGTAATAATTAATTTCCACAAGTCAAGGTCTACTTAATAAATGAGGTATCAATTCATCTATATTAGTGATCACTTGTTTGAATTCTATTGCGATAAATTTCCATGACAAGGGAGGGATAAGACTAGGAGCGCTAAGATGTGCAAGTTTAAGTTGAATTTTCTAAGTTTAAAGTGACACAATTTATTATTATTTATTTATTTATTTTATGACAGGGGAACTCGCAGCCGTTACCCTTTGGATGCGTATTGGATAAATTCTGGGACTGACGCAATAGCCTGCAAACCACGCCAGCCAGATAAATCTAGAGATGTCAAACGGGCCGAGCTTGAGCCGCTCGGCTCGTCAAAATCTGGCTCCTGGGCCGCTCGGGCTCGTCAAATAATGAACCCGAGTCCAAGCCAAGCAGGGGCTCAATCCCACGAGCCAAGCCTGCTTGGCTTGTCGAGCCCACGAGCGGCTCGTGAGCACATGGCCCACGAGCTATTTTGACGAGCTCACGAGTTGAGTAAAAAAATATGATTTTTTTTTTTAAAAAAAGGCTCTAAAATGTGCAAATTTATCAAAAAAAAATTAAAAAAATCACTAGCTCGCGAGCGGTTCGCGCACGAGATTGAGCCGAGCTCGTGGGTTAAAGGGCCGAGTCGGCTTGGCTCGATCCATTTCCATTCCTAGGTAAAACGCACTAGGCAAGCTCCGTGTGACATGCTCGACTGAGAAAGTGTTGGTAGGGAGAATTGAACTCGTGACCAAAAGCCTCCGCGCTCACCTACGCCACCAACTCGGCCACCCCATAAGAGACGAAGTGACATAATTCTTTTTTTGCTGGACTATAATCGTAGAGTAATTTTCTAAAATCATGTTCAACTTGATCTAAAATAATTCTTTTCCACGCTTTTAAATTTATGATGACAATGTATCTAATCGACAAAAAATAGTTTTTTTTTACGAATATATGTTAAATACAACTTAAAATAAGTATTATTTAATTTATTCAACTTTTGATTGAACTAATTTTTGATAAAG